CCCCTTTTAGAAAGTAGGTTATGTCTGAGGTATTCAGTAAGAGCCATGGTGAGTTGTTTTAAGTTGACAAATTTCTTGTCACAATTTTTTCTGGAAAAATTAAGCATCATCATTAGAGATGAGCGAATCGAAGTAGGCGAAGTGGAATTCGCATTTCGAAATATTAGAAAAATTTCGATTCGCGGCGAATCCGAAAATAAGCAGACTTCAGATGCGCGAATCGAAATTTTTCCTAAAATGGCGGCGACATGTGCGGTGACGGAGCGGGGGATGTCTGGGAAGGCGCGCAGACAAGGCGCGCTGACCATAATGCATTCATTCGATGACATATGATACGCAATTTAGCCAATCAGCAGCCAGCCAGCCAGCACTGTGTAATTGGTCGAGCTATAAATGGCGGCCATTTTAGAATTCTCCATTTGCCTCCAGTCATTCAACAGAGGCAGACCTGGCTGTATTCAGGGAGAGAGTTAGGGACACAGAAACGTTACTTAGGGACATAGGAATCGTTAGTTAGGGCCACAGAAACGTTACTTAGGGCCACAGAAACGTTACTTAGGGCCACAGAAACTTTACTTAGGGAACACACAGAAAACGTTTACTTAGGGACACAGAACAACGTTACCTAGGGCCACAGAATCGTTACTTAGGGCCACAGAAACGTTACTTAGGGCCACAGAATTGTTACTTAGGGCCACAGAATCGTTACTTAGAGGCCACAGAAACGTTACTTAGGGCCACAGAATTGTTACTTAGGGCCACAGAATTGTTACTTAGGGCCACAGACACAGAATTGTTACTGAGGGACACAGAATTGTTACTGAGGGCCACAGAATTGTTACTTAGGGCCACAGAAACGTTACTTAGGGCCACAGAATTGTTACTGAGGGCAGACACAGAATTGTTACTTAGGGACACAGAATTGTTTTACTGAGGGCCACAGATTTGTTACTTAGGGCCACAGAAACGTTACTTAGGGCCACAGAATTGTTACTTAGGGACAGACACAGAATTGTTACTGAGGGACACAGAATTGTTACTGAGGGCCACAGAAACTGTTACTTAGGGCCACAGAAACGTTACTTAGGGCCACAGAATTGTTACTTAGGGACAGACACAGAATTGTTACTGAGGGACACAGAATTGTTACTGAGGGCCACAGAACTGTTACTTAGGGCCACAGAAACGTTACTTAGGGCCACAGAACGTTGTTACTTAGGGACAGACACAGAATTGTTACTTAGGGACAGACACAGAATTGTTACTGAGGGACACAGAATTGTTACTGAGGGCCACAGAACTGTTACTTAGGGCCACAGAAACGTTACTTAGGGGCCACAGAATTGTTACTAGGGCCACAGAATTGTTACTTAGGGACAGACACAGAATTGTTACTGAGGGACACAGAATTGTTACTGAGGGCCACAGAAACGTTACTTAGGGCCACAGAAACGTTACTTAGGGCCACAGAATTGTTACTTAGGGACAGACACAGAATTGTTACTGAGGGACACAGAATTGTTACTGAGGGCCACAGAACTGTTACTTAGGGCCACAGAAACGTTACTTAGGGCCACAGAATTGTTACTTAGGGCCACAGAAAGGGACAGTTACACAGAATTGTTACTGAGGGACACAGAATTGTTTGAGGGCCACAGAATCGTTACTTAGGGCCACAGAAACGTTACTTAGGGCCACACAGAATTGTTACTTAGGGACAGACACAGAATTGTTACTGAGGGACACAGAATTGTTACTTAGGGCCACAGAATTGTTACTTAGGGGCCACAGAAACGTTACTTGAGGGACACAGAATTGTTACTTAGGGCCACAGAAACGTTACTTAGGGCCACAGAATTGTTACTTAGGGACAGACACAGAATTGTTACTGAGGGACACAGAATTGTTACTGAGGGCCACAGAACTGTTACTTAGGGCCACAGAAACGTTACTTAGGGCCACAGAATTGTTACTTAGGGACACAGAATTGTTACTTAGGGACAGACACAGAATTGTTACTGAGGGACACAGAATTGTTACTTTGGGGCACAGAATTGTTACTTAGGGGCCACAGAAACGTTACTTAGGGCCACAGAAACGTTACTTAGGGACACAGAATTGTTACTTAGGGACAGACACAGAATTGTTACTGAGGGACACAGAATTGTTACTGAGGGCCACAGAAATTGTTACTTAGGGCCACAGAAACGTTACTTAGGGCCACAGAATTGTTACTTAGGGACAGACACAGAATTGTTACTGAGGGACACAGAATTGTTACTGAGGGCCACAGAACTGTTACTTAGGGCCACAGAAACGTTACTTAGGGCCACAGAATTGTTACTTAGGGACAGACACAGAATTGTTACTTAGGGGACACAGAATTGTTACTGAGGGACACAGAATTGTTACTGAGGGCCACAGAAACGTTACTTAGGGCCACACACACAGAAACGTTACTTAGGGCCACAGAATTGTTACTTAGGGGACACAGAATTGTTACTGAGGGACACAGAATTGTTACTGAGGGCCACAGAAACTGTTACTTAGGGCCACAGAAACGTTACTTAGGGGCCACAGAATTGTTACTTAGGGACACACAGAATTGTTACTTAGGGACACACAGAATTGTTACTAGGGCCACAGAATTGTTACTTAGGGCCACAGAAACGTTACTGAGGGCCACAGAAACGTTACTTAGGGCCACAGAAACGTTACTTAGGGACACAGAAATTGTTACTTAGGGACACAGAATTGTTACTGAGGGCCACAGAATTGTTACTTAGGGCCACAGAATTGTTACTTAGGGCCACAGAAACGTTACTTAGGGGAAACGTTGTTACTTAGGGCCACAGAATTGTTACTTAGGGACAGACACAGAATTGTTACTGAGGGACACAGAATTGTTACTTGAGGGCCACAGAAACGTTACTTAGGGCCACAGAACGTTACTTAGGGCCACAGAATTGTTACTTAGGGACAGACACAGAATTGTTACTGAGGGACACAGAATTGTTACTTAGGGCCACAGAATTGTTACTTAGGGCCACAGAAACGTTACTTAGGGCCACAGAATTGTTACTTAGGGGACACAGAATTGTTACTGAGGGACACAGAATTGTTACTGAGGGACACAGAATTGTTACTTAGGCCACAGAAATTGTTACTTAGGGGACACAGAATTGTTACTTAGGGCCACAGAATTGTTACTTAGGGCCACAGAATTGTTACTTAGGGCCACAGAATTGTTACTTAGGGCCACAGAATTGTTACTTAGGGGACACAGAATTGTTACTTAGGGACACAGAATTGTTACTTAGGGACCACAGAATTGTTACTGAGGGACCACAGAATTGTTACTTAGGGGACACAGAATTGTTACTTAGGGCCACAGAAAAATTGTTACTTAGGGGCCACAGAAACGTTACTTAGGGACACAGAATTGTTACTTAGGGACACACAGAATTGTTACTGAGGGACACACAGAATTGTTACTGAGGGACACAGAATTTGTTACTTAGGGCCACACAGAATTGTTACTTAGGGCCACAGAATTGTTACTTAGGGCCACAGAATTGTTACTTAGGGGCCACCGTTACAGGGACACAGAATTGTTACTTAGGGCCACAGAATTGTTACTTAGGGACCACAGAATTGTTACTTAGGGACACAGAATTGTTACTTAGGGAGGGACACAGAATTGTTACTGAGGGACACAGAATTGTTACTGAGGGCCACAGAAACGTTACTTAGGGCCACAGAAACGTTACTTAGGGCCACAGAATTGTTACTCAGGGACAGACACAGAATTGTTACTTAGGGGACACAGAATTGTTACTGAGGGACACACAGAATTGTTACTGAGGGACACAGAATTGTTACTGAGGGACACACAGAATTGTTACTTAGGGACACAGAATTGTTACTTAGGGACAGACACAGAATTGTTACTGAGGGACACAGAATTGTTACTTAGGGCCACAGAAGAATTGTTACTAGGGCCACAGAATTGTTACTTAGGGCCACAGAATTGTTACTTAGGGCCACAGAATTGTTACTTGAGGGACACACAGAATTGTTACTGAGGGACACAGAATTGTTACTGAGGGACACAGAATTGTTACTTAGGGCCACAGAATTGTTACTTAGGGCCACAGAATTGTTACTTAGGGCCACAGACACAGAATTTGTTACAGAGGTTACTGAGGGACACAGAATTGTTACTGAGGGCCACAGAATTGTTACTTAGGGCCACAGAAACGTTACTTAGGGACACAGAATTGTTACTTAGGGACAGACACAGAATTGTTACTTGAGGGACAGACACAGAATTGTTACTGAGGGACACAGAATTGTTACTTAGGGCCACAGAATTGTTACGTTACTTAGGGCCACAGAAACGTTACTTAGGGACACAGAATTGTTACTTAGGGACAGACACAGAATTGTTACTGAGGGACACAGAATTGTTACTGAGGGCCACAGAATTGTTACTTAGGGCCACAGAAACGTTACTTAGGGCCACAGAATTGTTACTTAGGGACAGACACAGAATTGTTACTTAGGGAGGGACACAGAATTGTTACTGAGGGACACAGAATTGTTACTTAGGGCCACAGAAAACGTTACTTAGGGCCACAGAATTGTTACTTAGGGACACAGAATTGTTACTGAGGGACACAGAATTGTTACTGAGGGCCACAGAATTGTTACTTAGGGCCACAGAACTTAGGGCCACAGAATTGTTACTGAGGGACACAGAATTGTTACTGGTTAGGGCCACAGAATTGTTACTTAGGGCCACAGAATTGTTACTGAGGGACACAGAATTGTTACTTAGGGCCACAGATTGTTACTTAGGGCCACACAAGAAAATTGTTACTTAGGGCCACAGAATTGTTACTTAGGGCCACAGAATTGTTACTTAGGGGACACAGAAATTGTTACTTAGGGACACAGAATTGTTACTGAGGGACACAGAATTGTTACTGAGGGCCACAGAATTGTTACTTAGGGACACAGAATTGTTACTTAGGGACACAGAATGTGTTACTTAGGGGACACAGAATTGTTACTGAGGGACACACAGAATTGTTACTGAGGGACACAGAATTGTTACTTAGGGACACAGAATTGTTACTTAGGGACACAGAATTGTTACTAGGGGACACAGAATTGTTACTGAGGGCCACAGAATTGTTACTGAGGGACACAGAATTGTTACTTAGGACAGACACAGAATTGTTACTTAGGGGACACAGAATTGTTACTTAGGGACACAGAATGTTTAGGGACAGGGACACAGAATTGTTACTGAGGGGACACAGAATTGTTACTTAGGGCCACAGAATTGTTACTTAGGGACACAGAATTGTTACTGAGGGACACAGAATTGTTACTGAGGGACACAGAATTGTTACTTAGGACACAGAATTGTTACTTAGGGACACAGAATTGTTACAGGGACAGGGACACAGAATTGTTACTTAGGGACACACAGAATTGTTACTGAGGGACAGACACAGAATTGTTACTGAGGGACACAGAATTGTTACTGAGGGACACAGAATTGTTACTTAGGGACCACAGAATTGTTACTTAGGGACAGACACAGAATTGTTACTCAGAGGGACACAGAATTGTTACTGAGGGACACAGAATTGTTACTGAGGGACACAGAATTGTTACTCAGGGGGCCACAGAATTGTTACTTAGGGACACAGAATTGTTACTGAGGGACACAGAATTGTTACTGAGGGGACACAGAATTGTTACTGATTGACACAGAATTGTTACTGAGGGACAGACACAGAATTGTTACTCAGGGACACAGACACAAATTGTTACTGAGGGACACAGAATTGTTACTTGAGGGACACAGAATTGTTACTGAGGGACACAGAATTGTTACTGAGGGCCACAGAATTGTTACTTAGGGACACAGAATTGTTACTTAGGGACACAGAATTGTTACTCAGGGACAGGGACACAGAATTGTTACTGAGGGACAGACACAGAATTGTTACTGAGGGACACAGAATTGTTACTGAGGGACACAGAATTGTTACTCAGGGACACAGAATTGTTACTGAGGGGACACAGAATTGTTACTGAGGGACACAGAATTGTTACTCAGGGAGGGACACAGAATTGTTACTGAGGGACACAGAATTGTTACTGAGGGACACAGAATTGTTACTCAGGGACAGACACAGAATTGTTACTGAGGGACACAGACAGAATTGTTACTGAGGGACACAGAATTGTTACTGAGGGACACAGAATTGTTACACAGAATTGGGACACAGAATTGTTACTCAGGGGACACAGAATTGTTACTCAGGGAGGGACACAGAATTGTTACTCAGGGACACAGAATTGTTACTGAGGGACACAGAATTGTTACTTAGGGACACAGAATTGTTACTGAGGGGACACAGAATTGTTACTTAGGGACACAGAATTGTTACTGAGGGACACACAGAATTGTTACTCAGGGACAGACACAGAATTGTTACTGAGGGACACAGAATTGTTACTTACTGAGGGACACAGAATTGTTACTGAGGGACACAGAATTGTTACTCAGGGGACACAGAATTGTTACTGAGGGACACAGAATTGTTACTGAGGGACACAGAATTGTTACTGAGGGACACAGAATTGTTACTCAGGGACACAGAATTGTTACTGAGGGACACAGAATTGTTACTCAGGGACAGACACAGAATTGTTACTGACAGGACACAGAATTGTTACTGAGGGACACAGAATTGTTACTGAGGGACACAGAATTGTTACTCAGGGGACACAGAATTGTTACTGAGGGACACAGAATTGTTACTTAGGGACACAGAATTGTTACTCAGGGACACAGAATTGTTACTCAGGGGACACAGAATTGTTACTGAGGGACAGACACAGAATTGTTACTGAGGGACACAGAATTGTTACTGAGGGACACAGAATTGTTACTGAGGGACACAGAATTGTTACTGAGGGACAGACACAGAATTGTTACTGAGGGACACAGAATTGTTACTGAGGGACACACAGAATTGTTACTGAGGGGACACAGAATTGTTACTCAGGGAGGGACACAGAATTGTTACTCAGGGACAGACACAGAATTGTTACTCAGGGGGGACAGAATTGTTACAGGGACACAGAATTGTTACTGAGGGACACAGAATTGTTACTGAGGGACACAGAATTGTTACTCAGGGACACAGAATTGTTACTCAGGGGGACACAGAATTGTTACTGAGGGACACAGAATTGTTACTGAGGGACACAGAATTGTTACTCAGGGACACAGAATTGTTACTCAGGGGACACAGAATTGTTACTCAGGGACACAGAATTGTTACTGAGGGACACAGAATTGTTACTGAGGGACACAGAATTGTTACTCAGGGACACAGAATTGTTACTCAGGGACAGACACAGAATTGTTACTGAGGGACACAGAATTGTTACTGAGGGGACACAGAATTGTTTGTTAATTGTTACTAGGGACACAGAATTGTTACTGAGGGACACAGAATTGTTACTCAGAGGGACACAGAATTGTTACTCAGGGACACAGAATTGTTACTCAGGGACAGACACAGAATTGTTACTGAGGGACACAGAATTGTTACTGAGGGACACAGAATTGTTACTCAGGGACACAGACACAGAATTGTTACTGAGGGACACAGAATTGTTACTCAGGGAGGGACACAGAATTGTTACTCAGGGACAGACACAGAATTGTTACTGAGGGACACAGAACACAGGGAATTGTTACTGAGGGACACAGAAATTGTTACTGAGGGACACAGAATTGTTACTCAGGGACACAGAATTGTTACTGAGGGACACAGAATTGTTACTCAGGGACACAGAATTGTTACTCAGGGACACAGAATTGTTACTGAGGGACACAGAATTGTTACTCAGGGACACAGAATTGTTACTGAGGGACACAGAATTGTTACTGAGGGACACAGAATTGTTACTGAGGGACACAGAATTGTTACTGAGGGACACAGAATTGTTACAGGGACACAGAATTGTTACAGGGGGACACAGAATTGTTACTGAGGGACACAGAATTGTTACTGAGGGACACAGAATTGTTACTGAGGGACACAGAATTGTTACTGAGGGACACAGAATTGTTACTGAGGGACACAGAATTGTTACTTAGGGACACAGAATTGTTACTCAGGGGGACACAGAATTGTTACTCAGGGGACACAGAATTGTTACTCAGGGACAGGACACAGAATCGTTTAATTAAAGAGTATGTCAGACAACATGCAGAGGAGTGGCAGAGGAGGCAATGTTTTAGGAGCGAGCAGACGTGGCAGCAGAGGAAGGGGTCGAGGCAGCACTAGTCGCAGCCAGAGGCCAGTGCTCCCGGTGTCATCCAGCGGTCGTGTCTCCACCGACAACCCTGCCGTCATCGATTGGTTGGCTCGGTCGTCTTCCTCTTCCCAGGTCACCTCTGACACCTACAGCCAACGGTCGGTGGGTACGTCAGAC